AAACGGAAGAGAAGGAAGAGGGGGGGGGGGGGGGGGGGGAGAAAGGCAGCATTGTAATTTGACATTATAGATGATATCTCTCTCCCTCTCTCTTTTTTTTCTCTCAGGGTCTAATTGTAGATACAGTGCCTTTGAAAGGTATTGCCTTGTTAGCAGAATCGTAATAGGAGAGGGTGAAGGATCATATGTGTTCAATACTCTTTTGTTGTGTTGCGAGTTGCCTGTGAGAAAGGTTGCGAGACCCCGGACTGCAGGATATGCACAAACAGAATATCAGCAGAAACACGCTGAAGGTATACGGCACCTTGAATAAATGAGAAAAATGCTCGCAGTACGACGTTTACTTCTCACCAACTTTACAGTGATGTTCAAAACAAGAGTTTCAACATTTGCAAATGTTTGTGGTTCTGAGAGTTTGTTTTCAAACCAAAATTATGCCGCTTATAGTGCAGTGTCTTCGTGTTGCTTTAATAACTGAATGGCAAAATTATTTCAGATTTATATAAAAAGAACATTTGTCAGAATGTGGATATTTATATATTGTATATAGTGCTTGTATGCAATGTTAAAACAATGTAAATAAATAATGAGCAATAATATACCGAAGTGTCAGGTAAAAATTATTATTATAATTACTATTATTAAAATTTTTGATAATATACAGACACCGTGTAATTTTCACAATATACCCACAATTTGCAATATACCCACGTCTTGCAAAAATAATGTTTTCTTTGTTCAAGTATTATAATTGATTAAAATGTCATTATTAATACTATAACCAACTGCTTATTAATTATGCAATGAAACGTCTTAATGGCCATTGTCGTTTGCCATTGAAAATGCAATTTAATTTATGCCTAAACTAAATTAATCACAATAATGAATAAGGTCACCTGCGGGTGTGTTTGCTCCGTGTGGACCAGGAGGCCCTTGTGAGCTTTGTACTAAATTAAGGAAACAAAGAGGGTCAGAGAAACATTAGGCCAAACTCATTGTACTTAGACGCTTGACGATTCCTCTCATCACACAGGAGGTTACTGTCCTATTTCCCTCTTAAAAGAACAAAGATGATTTAAGCTCTGTCTCAGGCTTGACACCATTACCTTCAACAGGGACAATTCTGACAGAGATATAAGGGTCATTTTACAAAATGGGTGCAATTTGTGCTCCCCATATATATGTGAAAAAATCTTATCTTAACAATAAATACTTGTACAGTTTATGCACACTTTTACTATGCTAATATAGGCATTTTACTAAAAACACCGATACAAATCAAGTAACGTAAATGTATTTAGTCTTTGTGGTCCCCCCCCCCCTTAGGTCTGTCCTTGTCTTGTGTTTCTAATTTCTATTTATATATGAATTAATGTGAAATATATAGGAATAAAATGCTAGTACATTGTCTTTATTTTTCTCTGTTTGTTTCGATTTTAGTTGACAGTGTGTTATTTAAAAACTTGAAGCTGTCCATAGGTTGTTGCCAACCTACTACCTTTTACATAATTTTCCCACTTTAAAGTAATATAAAGTAAAAGAAATGATATAAAACCAAAATGAAAAAAGACGCATTCAATTTTTCCAGAAGTGGAAAAAAGTCTCGTTTATCACTGTATGCTTTAAGAGTGTCAATAGAGGACAGTCTTAAAATGTCAACATTGTTACCTTGATTTTATAAAGTAAACCAGTGCTCATTGAAAAATAGATTTTTGTAGAAATATCTATAGAGGCTACTGAACAGTTTCATGACCTTTCACAGGGCTAAGAAATTTGTCAGCCCTGTTACCTAATAGAAGAATATTTACAAAATTGTACTTTAATAATCACCAAATCAGAAAATGGATCTGAAACACTGCATGAAAGTCAAAAACAATCAAACAGCCAAAATATGTTTAATGAACAACAAAACGTACACAAAGATGAAGAACTCTTTCTCTTTAAGTTTTTCTTTTCTCCTCTCAGTTGTCCTGTGTGATCCTGTCTTTCAGATAGATCCCTCAGTAGATAGCAGTGTCCTCTGTTCTAAATTTAGCCTTAGAAAGTCAAGCTAGAGAGTGAGACGCTCACCCACCAGGCTATTTCTGTCCGCACATCCTCGGACAGAGTTATCATGATCAGGCTTATTAGACTCTGTCCAGGTTCTGGGTGGTCTACTGGTTTTTCCTACTGCTGCTGCTGCTGGGCGTGCATGCAGCTCTCACAGGGGAAGTACAGGGGTCATGTGACAGGATATCAGACTCAGTGTTTTGTCTCTGGTGTTCTTCAGGTGGGCTGCTCCAATGGAGGTGAACGGCCTGCTGGAGTTCTATACGCTGTACCAGTCTGCCTTAGGAGAAGAGCCGGTCGTCGTCTATAACAGCTCTGAGCTTTTTGAGGATTATACAGTGCGGAACCTCATCCCTGGATCAAGCTACCTGTTTCAGATAGCAGTGCGTTCTTGCTCACTGTTTCACCTTACACACACCTAAATGAGTAAAGGAGGGCTCAGTATGCAGAATATCATATCACTGTGACTTTCAGTTCATTTTGTCCTTAGTAAATTTATTAAAATGTGGCTTTTTAAAATAGTCATATTGAATATAGTGCAAAATGAACTTGTGTGTCACATCAGCACACAAACCTTCATGACTCTGATTCAGATCTTACAACAGCTTGCCTGTCAGAGTTTCATTTTAATTTGGTATTGCTTTTTTATTCATTTATTAATTGTGTTTAGAAACTTGTATTATATAAATTTTAACAGAATATAAAAATCATTTAGAAAAAGTTTGTATTATTTGTATGCCAATTTAAGAAACTTCTAATCAATTAAATATTACAGAGCACCAACTTTTTTATTATAATTTGATTTTCTTTTCTTTTAATGATTATTATCATTTTATACTGTAGTTCAGTGTGGTTCTGCTATATTTTTCTATATAATTATTTGTGTATTATTTATACACCAGACCAGATGTAATCTGCTAACGTTTTTCATATTTTCTGTACTCATTTTTGGAAAGATTGCTTTTTTATATTTGTTATGCTGCCCATTTTAACTTGATTTGAACATGGTCAAATGTGTTAACATCAGCATACAGACTTTAAAGGTTCTTACTGCCTGTTGCTTATATTATTTACACTGATTTGGAGCAGACAGCATATCAACAGGTGAACTTTGTAAATGTAATATTCATTTAAATTATTAGAGAATATAAAAATACATTTTGATTGTATTTATGTAATATTTTGACTGGATCTGCTGACTTTTTTCACATCTTTAGGGCTTATAGGTTAAGGGAATATCTCTGAATTCCCTTGATAAAATGTGCTGAGAGTACTACAATATTCTAATTCATCTAATTAACTAAATGTTTTTTTTTTTAAATACATGTATAAAGAAGGAATATGTTGAACAGTTGTGGAGCTGTTTTCATTTGAAATCTTTTTAAAGCATGTTTGTTTTATGTATAGCTGATGCCACTTAAAGTTTGTCTTTTGACCTGCAGGCTTGCACGGGAGGTGGATGCACCCTCAGTAACCCCAGCGTTGCCCACACTGAAGAGAGTTCACCAGAGGAAGTGCCTGCCCCCAACATCCTGTCACTCTCCCCATATTCCCTCAATGTGTCCTGGACCCCCCCTCGCAAGCCCAACGGTGAGTGGGGTTAAAACTAGTGCCCGGCAAAGGTGAATTCATATTCCAAATGGCCGTTTAGTTAAGGGTGCTTCATGTTTAATGATGGGTTAGCACAGAGAAGGGGACAGGAAAAGAGGAGCACTTTGTGTGGCAGTGCGACTGGGAGCGCGCGAGAGAGTGAGACAGAGGAAAAGAGGGTGCTGCGTTTTAAGTGGATGAAAAGTGCTCCCTTTTGACTGATGCTGTGAACTGCAGCTTTAGCGCAGCAGCAGGTTCATTCACTCAGCCTGAGCACCGGCTGGGGGACACATTTGAGAGCAGATGCAGATTAGGAGAAGTGCTTCTGGAATTCAATCCTACACTTTTTGCATTTTGGTGAATGTTAATTCCCATGAAATTAACATCTATTGTATTTATATCTATTAAGTATGTATGTGTTTATAAGTATTTATATAAATTATATTGTTTTATATAAAGAAAAAAATTACATGGTACAGAAAATATGAAATTAATTATCGTTTAGTGAACTAAATATTTTATTTAAATACATATATATATATATATATATATATATATATATACTGTATATTAAATTTTTTTGATAGTGAAAGGACATAAATTTTTTTATTCATTTAATCTATTAAATAATTCATTACAATATTTTGCAGATTTTTGAGGTGAAGGGTGGGTTAAGATTGTTAAAGGACCTCTAATATGGTGTGAGATATTCTAATATGATATATAAACTTTTTCAGGAATTGTGTGGTGAAAATTATGAATTCTTCCTTTTAATCTTGTGCAGATATAAATTATAATTTTGTGTGGATATAAACTATAATTTTAATCAAATTGAGTCCAAATAAATTGTACAATAAATGATAAATATTGTAATAAACAGTATATTATATATATTATTTTACAAAGCTATATGATATATTTTACATGATTTTATATTTTATATTTATTTATATATATATATATATATATATATATATATATATATATATATATATATATATGAAACATGATTAAATTGCACACAATTTATTAAAACTACAGATTATTATTAAGTTAAATTATTTATTAAAATATTGTATATTTTGAGGAATGGTTAAATTTTTCCACATTTTCAAATACTGAATTAAAAAATTAATCTTTAAAATAAAAACTTGATCTTGTGTAAATGTTAAATGCTAAATGTTAAAATAAACATTTTAATGCCATCTTATTTTTAAAAACAGAGTTAATGTGTGATAAACACACAATCTGAAAAATATGTATGAAATCTCCCTTTGCATTGATTATAGAAAATATATAGCTTTTATTATTTAATGTATTTTGCGTCTCAAGACCTACTCAGTGTATTATTATAGAACTGTTACAAATTAAATTTTAAATAAGTGCACAATAAAAATGCACAAACATTAAGTATTTTTTTATATATACGAGTTTGTTAAAGCTCAGTATAATTGTTCATATTATTTCTTTGTGCACTGGGCCAAGCTCAGTTGTCCTTCTTGAACCTTTTAGCTGACCAGTCCATCTTGAGGGGTGTGTCCCGTGAGCAGCTATAAAGAGAGCAGGAGCAGTATACGGGTGTGTTTACATGTTTTACAGCACTCTTTCCCTAATGGTCGGCTTTAACAGAGGGCTTTAAACAAAATGGCCAGTTTACATCAGGGCATGTGAGGAAATCAGTGGAGCAAACAGTGTTTGGGTATAAAAATGTGTATTGGAAAAAGGGTTTGTGATGGAGGGGCAATTTTAGCCTTCATAGCAGAACTACAGTGAATGCTGCATGTTCTTGTTGATTTTCAGGCATTAATGCATTTCTTTTTATCTTATTTTGGTTGATGTTTAGGTCATGTCCTTAAAGACGATGTTTGTTTGAAATGTTGACTGTAGTCAACAATTATTTTGGTACTGTAGAGACATCTATTGCATTCTTGAATATACGAGAGGTTTACACGTCAAGCACAACCTGTATTTCCACGTACGCTATCACATAGCTCTTGCCCATTTGCTAAATGTGTATTAATTTCCTCCACACAGGTGTGATTAGCAGCTATGGTCTTTGGATGGATGGCACGCTGGTGCAGAATTCGTCTCTTATGGGTTTCGAGGTCGGTGATCTGTCCCCATGGAGCCTCCACAGCTTCCGTGTGCAGGCCTGCACGGCTCAGGGCTGCGCTCTGGGGCCCCTGGTGAGAGTCCACCACATTTACATTATGTTAATGCCTCCTCTGCGTGTCAGATGGCAGCTCAACATCATAAAGGTGATCGATTCACTCTGTTCAATAAAGCACCTTCTGCTCACGCTTGACATTTGGTATAAATGCCACTCTGGGCTGGTTACTGCTTTGATGGGCCATATTTGGGCATTTTTCCAATATGTGTGCAATATTTAGTCAAATGGCCAGTTCTGCAGACACAGCAAAAGTTGGAGCAAGCAGCGAGAGGTTGAGTGGCTGTGGTGTCGGGCGACGAAGTATCTGATCATTTAGTGGACAGATGGTGGGGAAAATAGTGCAGGCCGAGAATTTTTATTTATTTATTTTTAACTCCTGTGAGTTTTAAAAAAAAATTCAAATAATGCCTCTTCGTGCAGTCTCAAATTATGGCTTTTAAGTGAGTTTAAGAAATTTCTGTTCAGACAATGTGAATTGCGACTTACAACCTACAATACCATTTAAAAGTTGAGTCAAGATTTTTAAAAATATTTTTGAAATGTCTCTTTTGCGCGTTAAGGCTGCATTTAGATCAAATGTATAGTAAAACAGTATTATATGGTCACAATCGTAAAATATTACAATTTAAAATAACCTTTTTCTATTTTTTCAGGATTCTTTGATAAATAGAAAGTTTAATAAAAAAATTATTTACGATTTTTATAACAATGTGAAAGTCTTTGCTGTCATTTTTAATAAATTTAATGTATCTTTGCTGAATAAAATTAATTTAATTTAAAACAACAACAGCAAAAAATGTTACTGACCCCAAACCTTTGAACGGTTTATTCTACTACAGTAATGTAATTTTTAACATAAATTGCAATATTTAACAAAACCAATTTTGCTACAGTTTTTTGTTCTGTTCTTTTTTGTTTTGTTTTGTTTTGCATGGCCTACTGTAACGTAAGTAGAAAAGCAAAATTATTTCATACAGAGATCAAATTATTAAAATTTGATTGAACAAAGACAAACTATTTTTGGACTAACATGCACTTATAAATAGAAAGTAAATAGGGTCACTTTATAATAATAAATTTCATAGATATAATACTTGTACTAAATTTGCCATGTTCGTAATTTATATTGCTATGCTGCTACATTTCAGTTTCTAGTGTTTATATGTGTGTGTATGACTGGTTATCGCATGTGTATTTATGTATGAGTGGGTTTAACCAGACCTCAGTGCTTAATTTCGTTCCATCTCATGTGCCATGTTTTGGAATGACAATACAAATTATCGAAATACTTGAAAAATCCTTGAATACTTTAGACTTTACATGTTGACTTTAAGTAGAACTAAATGCTTACTTCTAGTTTTAAGCGGACATTATCTTTCTTTCTGTTGTCAGGTGGAAGGCAGGACTTTAGAGATGCCTCCCGCTGGTCACATGACCCTGGATGTCCTCAGTGAGACTCCACATTCAGTGCGAGCCAAGTGGGAGGCCCCAGCTAAACCCAACGGAAATCTGACCTACACAGTCCTCTTCACCGGGCCAGGTAAATCAAACTTAACTGCTCCCTTCACACCTCCACATCCTCCCTCAGTTCCTTCAAGTAAACGCAACATTGCTTCCCTGCATGCTGCCTCTGCTCCTTGTATTGACTTCTACTGTTTTCCCTTTGTTTGTTTACAAACAAAAATGCTGAAAGGTCAGCGAACCTTAGCACACCCTGCTTGCGGGGTAATGGGCTTAAATTAATTGTTGTCGGCCTCCATTTTGCTCAAGCTGGCTGCCGGGTGCTATCGTGGGCCAAAAGGGCTACAGGAGGACACCAGTGCTCATCACACGCTCTTCTCATCTCATTCTTCACGGGTTGAGAGCGGACAGGTTTGTTTAAAAGCGTAATGGCACCCACAAAAGGAATCTCCCTCTGCTTGCAGCCCTGATCTTTGCTGGAGCTTCCCTTACACTGTTTAGAGGATAAATGTTTGCCGTAATGAGAGGGTGAGGGGTGCAAACACACATTCTCTATGTGAATCTGTCAAGCTCATGAATCATTTAGGTTCTATAAAGGTACTGAAATGCAGATGCAAATGCTTGTCAAGCACATTACAAGTGTGCAGTCACATTGTACAGTACATACTGAACATGCATTCATAATGTCTATGCCATTGGATATATAGCTTTACTGGGGCTGTTATCTAATGGTTAGTGCATATTGAGCTGTGGTGCACATGCAAGTATCGTGAGTTTGAATCCAGCAACATTTCCAAATCAAGTTAAAGTGGCAAAAGGCCATAAATGTGCATTAATGTTCAAAAGTTTGGGGTCAGCAAGATGTGTGTGTGTGTTTAAAATAATTTAATACTGTTTTTCTGTTTACTGTAATACTGTTTGCATTAAATTGATCAAAAGTGTCAGTAAAGACATTTACATATAATTTCTTTTTCAACTAAATTCTGTTCTTTTGAACTTTTTATTCTTTAAATAATCCTGAACAATGAATCATGGTTTATACAAAATATTAAGCAGAACAACTGTTTTCTACTGATATTAATAAGGAATATTTCGTGAGCACGAAATCTCAGGATATCAGAAAGGATCATGTGACACTGAAGACTGGAGTAATGTTTGAAAATTCAGTTCCCCTTCAGGAACTCGAGCTGCATCGAAATGCTACGGGAACGCCTCCAGCGTGATCACGCTCTGAATCACATGTGTAATCAGTCCAATGGATGGGCGAGACGTCACGGGCGGGGTGACGTACCGACCAGGAAGCATAAAAGCACGTGCGGTGAAACCGGCGTCAGCTTTCTGTCATTCAGCAAGCGCTCTGTGTGTGTCAGTCTGATATCTGTTTGTGAGTCTTATTTAGTGTTGTCTGTCTCGAAATCTCAAGACAAAACCAGACACCTAAGGCGAGAGCAGGCAGCATTCAGTCTGCGTGTTCCTCCCTGCCCGCGTTACTTTACAGGTGGGGATACAAACAGTTTGTTTGTTACCTGCTTGGGAGCAAGCACGCAGAGTCAGCTCTCGAAAAAAAAGGAGCTGACGACACATTTGGTAGCGTTTGTTACTGCCTTGCTTCGCTCTCAGAGAGCTCTCTTTGAGAAGAGAGCCTTCACTAGCATTCCTCGTGGTGCCGGCCCGCTTTCGCCGAGGTGGAGCGGCGGCTGTGCTTGTGGGTTTCGCATATGGATTCGGTGGAGGGAATGTAGACGGGCGCGTCCCCATCTACTTCCTTAACCACCAGATCCGGCGCCCGCTCTCGGGGTTTCGAAAGCCCGCGCTGCGGTACTTCCCCCCCCTGGGGAGAGGGCGTGATGCTCCACCTGTCTTTCTCCGAGAAGATTGATATGGAGGGCGTTAAAGAGCTCGCCAGTTGCACAAGCATCAGTTACACAAGCATATTATGCCTGATATTAATGGGGAGCGGAGCTCTCGGGGGGCGGATTGTGCTTTTCCCACTGTTAAGCGCTCCGCTCTCGCCGGGCACGCTCCGAGGAGTGTGTCCGTGCCTGTGATCTTGCGATTGCGGTCCCGCTGCTGCTGAGGCACGGCGGCGACTGAGATTGCGAGGATCGCACATGATCTGGTGGATGGGTTGGAGACGGCTCGTCCTATCTCCACCCGTGTTCCCTAGATCGGTTTTGATCTGATAGATTGATGTTGTTTGTGTGACTGAGTTGCTCGCGCGCTGCCGAGGCAACGCTTATATTACATCATTCGGTTTTTGATGTGAATCTTACTCACCAGACCGTATTTACTCCTCTGGTTGTCTGACTGCATTTAATTCCGATGAATAAAATTAAGTTTTTATCTGACGATGAGAAGTTAGATATACAGGGGCACTTGGGATAAAATAAATAAATACATTTTCTCGAGTGAGAACCTACCGTGTTCCAGCCCCTCATTCTGGAGGCCTCACTTCTCGTACTCCGCAGAGTCTAGAGTCAGATTGGTGCTCCCAGGCCGAAGGCTTCTAGCGGAAGGCAGTTCTGCGGACCGTCATTCTCGCTGGATAGTCTTAGTCATAGAGAGACTGATTCCCTTAGTAGACTATTTGGCAGCATGAAAACTACTGCCAAACGTGTCAGTAGGTCCTGCACACTCTAGTGAGAGGCCACAGAATCCAGTTCGGTTCTCCTCCGCCTCAATTCAATGGGGCCTTTCCCACCCTGGTGGGTCCCGAGCAGGCTCTGGTAATAAAACAGAAGTAGACACTCTCTGAGGAAGGAGGCCATCGAGGTGGTCCCTCCTCGCTCAGCAGTGTCCGGGTCCTATAGCCGGTACTTCACCATTCCGAGGAAGGATGAAGGGCATCCTTCCTCATCATAGGACGTTCCTGAGGTTTGCTTTTGGGGGCAAAAGCCTACCAATACTGGTTCTTCCTTTGGCTTTGCACTCTCACCCCACACTTTCACAACTCAACCACATCGACGATTGGTTGATATTAGCTCAATCAGAGCACATGGCAGTTCGACATCGAGATGTCATTCTCGCTCACACGAAAGAGCTGGGGTTAAGACGTAACACCAAGAAAAGTGTGCTTTCTCCAGTACAGAGAACCACTTATCTGGGTGTGGTGTGGGATTCGACCACAATGTAGGCACGTATGTCTCCTGCTCGGATCGAGTCGATCCTCGTCGCGAAAGTGAGAGAAGACCGGTCACTCACTGTCAAGCAGTTCCAGACTGCTGGGTCTGATGGCAGCCACATCCAATGTGGTTACATTTGGCCTGCTGTACATGAGGACCCCTACAGTGGTGGATTAAGACCAAGGGGTTCTCCCTGAGGGGAAACCCGCTTCGCATGCTCAAGGTCACGTGGCGGTACCTACGTGCCTTAGACATGTGAAGGAAACTTTGGTTCTTATGTCAGGGCCTGGTGCTGGGAGCTCCTGGTCACCGCATATGCTAGTGACGGATGCATCTTTCACCGGTCGAGCGGCCGCCATCTCAGGTGGCGCATAAGTTGACTGGCGATGCTGGCCGTGTTTCTAGCTTTGAAACACTTCCTCCCAGGCCTAAGAGATCGCTATCAGAATCAGAATCAAAATGAGCTTTATTGCCAGGTATGTTTACACATACGAGGAATTTGTTTTCATGACAGAAGCTTCCACAGTGTAACAGAATGACAGTGACAGAACAAAAAACACAGATAATAAAAATAAAAATAGAACAAGTACATAAGGAATAAAAATTCTGAATCCGCGCTGTCTGAGCTTGACGAGCGCGCTGGCTCACTTCCCCCGTTTGCGTGTCCTGAAGCGCTTGATCAGCACAGTAGCTCCGCCGACTACAATGTCCAGCAAAACATCAGAATAGTCGAAAACTGGTGAAATATCGGGTGGTGTGTACTTCCGAATGTCCAGCAATTCGTCTCTGGTGAAACTGATTGCAGGGATATAACTAAAGACAGGACAAACTAACAAAAACATAAAAACAACTGCGGAGCATGCCACGGAGGCAGCCATCAGCGTCGGCGCCATCGTTCAACTGAGTGTTGGTGCGCACTGACAACACAGTAGTGGTCTTTTATATATGTGGGGGCAAACATCCTGTCGAGGCAGGGGCCGAGGCCCGGGGAATAGATGCCTCACCCCGAGGGGTGAAGAAGACTTGGAGAGTCTTTGGCCAGGCTCAGGTGGACTTGTTTGCGACTCAGATGATATTGCACGGTCCCCTCTGGTTCTCTCTCTGACTCATCCAGCTCCACTGGGGCTGGATGCCATGGTACAGATGTGGCCGAGGCTTCGTCTGTACACCTTTCCCCCGATTGTTCTGCTCCCGGGAGTTCTGGAGAGAGTGCGCTGGAACGAGGTCAGTCGACTGCGAGTAGCCCCGTTCTGGCCGGGCCGAGTATGGTTCTCGGACCTGATTCTTCTCCCCGACGGCGCTCCATGGGAGATTCCCACCAGGAGAGATCTCCTCTCACAGGCGGAGGGTGCGCCTGGAGCTGTGGAAGCTGTGGGTGTGGCCTCTGAGGAGGCACAACTCATAGCTTCTGGTCTCTCAACCGAGGTTGTTGAGACCATCCTCCATCCAGAGTGCCCTCTATGAGGAAACTGTACTTCTTGGTGCGGAAACCGCCAGCTCGACCCAGCTAACTGCCCGTTTGGTACAGTTCTGGAGTTCCTGCAGGCCTGTTTATCTGCAGGGTTGACCCACTCCACCCTAGAGGTCTTTGTGGCGGCCATTGCGGCCTAACACGCCCCTCTCGTTGGCCATTCAGTGGGAAGACACCCTCTTCTTACACGTTTCCTCCGCGGTGCGCTGAGGTCAAGGCCTCCGGCCAGAGAAACGTATGCTAAGTGGTGGATCAGGATGCTATTCCATAGCCTTGAGCCCTCTGATCTCCCCTCTCCTTCGGGGGTCAAGGCTCACTCCTCCAGAAGTTGGCCTTTGGGACGGCGGGCCCTGCCTACTTTAGCCATTCCTGGCTCCCTTTTCTCTCGCCTCAGTTCTGCTCTTCCACACTAGGCAGGGATTTGCAAGTCTGGCGGCGTGGGCATTCTCGTTCCCGTAGCGTTTCGACGCAGCTCGAGTTCCTGAAGGGGAACGTCTCCAGGTTACGTATGTAACCATGGTTCCCCGAAGGGAACGAGACGCTGCGTCTCAGGGCCATACTTCCGGCATCCCTGCCAGCGCTTGC